TTCACTGAAAATATTCACCGGAAGGAATTAGGCAAGGTGATAGTTTAAGCCCTTCTTGTTTAACCTACTCGTGGGCAAAATATTAAATAAAGTAACATCTCTCAATCTCGGATACAGAATGGGCATCAAAACAATTGGTATGGTGTGTTACGCAGATGATGCAGCAATTATTGCCGAATCAGAAGATGATCTTCAGATTCAGTTTTCTTTCAGAATTCAGAACTCTTTCAGTTCTTTCAAATAAGCCGCAACTAAATATGACGATTTCTACCAACAAAATTAAATGTATGACAATAGCGAAAGATCCGCTCAGATGTAAGTTAGTGGTCGAGAACAACCCCATAGAACAGGTGATGCAATTCAGATATCTGAATCATAGGGGCATAGATATATCAGGCACACACGACCCAGCAAAGAACTAAGGAGTCAGATCAACAAAGCATCCGTATTGTCAGGATGTCTGCGGGAGATAGTCTGACCGGTCATGACATATGGCATAGATCATTGGCGATCATTCTGGCTATGATGACTATTGTTATTTGCTTTACGGAATAGCTGTGTTGAGGCCTTTCTATACCATATTCATATTCTTCTTCGTCCTGGGGCCTTTTTCCTTCAATTTTACCTTGCAAAATGCATTGGAGTGGCTCATATCTGCCTTGGTTTCTCATTATATGTCTCAAATACTGCAGCTTACGGCCCTTCACGCTGTTGACCAAATCCGCGGTTGTATTCATTCTCCATAGAGGGTGGTAAAGGTCTTCATTGGTGACTTTATAGAAATGTTTGGAAAGGTTTTTAAAAAGTCCCGCCCATTGTGACGTCAGACCTTATGTACTCCATTGATGAGATAATACATAAATCTTTCTCCATTAAATAAAGACTATATTTATTACTTTTTTGGTACAGTGTAATGTCCAGACCATAAATGACGCCACCCCTTTATACCACTATTTTTATATATTCCCTCGAACACAAATCCAGTATTTTGCTCCATTGAAACACAAACAACATAAAGCATTTAAATTAAAATATCTCACTTTGTAACCGATAGTGCATCGGTGTTCTCCCAACACGTAGCTTTTAATTTTGATGTAACAGGATAACCACAGGTAGGTGTTACGGTCCAATTTAAAAAAAAACATTTGATGTTCATGTTAACGAGAGGAAATAAATACACTTTTATTTTGTGGAATAGCAGTGAGTACGAGTAGATGCTTTTCTAAAAATAAGGTTAAACCACAATCCAGATACGGTAGATTGTTTTTCGAAAGTATATCAAAAGCCAAAAGCTTCGTTTGTTCGAAAACAATATTAATAAGATATTTTTACGTAACCACTTTCGTGAGACACCCCAGAGTAAGGTTCAAGAAGTAGCTCATGAAAAAGAGGCCCTAATTTATTTAATATATTTTTTTTAGATTGTAAAAATCAGCTTTTTCGGCTCAGACCAATTGTTTTTTTAATATTTTGTAGATCACTCCTGCAATTTTTTTTTAAAGTTGATTATTGTGTAGTTGTACACAAATATTATCTGGTGCCTGAAGAAATATCCCACGTATATCTGATGCTTCTATGCATTGAGATCTTTATTGCAAACTTATAGTATGAAGATAGTCTTGCCGATTATTTTCCGACGCCGTTTTCTGAATTTAATTTAAACTAATTAGTTACTGAGGTATTTTATTTGTTTATAAGTAAAAGAAAAAATGTTTATAATTTTAAAACATTTATAAGTAAACAAATTGGCAAACTTCTATATGGTCTAGTTTTTGTTTACAAGATTTTAAAGAATTTCAATTAAAAAAAAAATTACATTGCAAAATTATTCTATTCTAAGTTATGCGAAATCTATTAAATCCATTCTAATGAAACTTGGACTATTTTATTATATTATAAAGAATTTATAGGTGAATTATGAAGGTCTTCAGTGGTTGAAAACATTGAATAAGAAAAGGCTTGTTTCCCCCTCTTTTTTTTTGTCTTTGAACTTGTGCCGTTGGTTGCTTTTTATTTTTTAGGTATAAAAACTACTGTATTAGAAAAAAAAATCATTTTTTAATGAAGCGAATAAATGTCCATCAACATTAAACAACATAACTTTACAGCTTTACCCTTAAATCTCACTCCCTAGATTAGTTATAATTAAAAGAATGTCATCGAATACCTTGTTTCCACTGATTTACAAAAAAATTTGGATTTAGGTTATAGCTACTTACCCTCCACTCCAAAATTAGACTTGTGCTGTTGGTTGCTTTTTATTGTTTAGGAGTGAATACGAAAAAAATCATATAATTGTAAATTCAAGCAATTTGAAATTATTTAATTATGCCCTGACATTATTTTAGATTTTTGTACTGTTTTAATTTTTAGTATAGAAAAAAAAACGGTATTTTTAATAATTTTTAAACAATTTAATTTTTTTATTAATATTTCCGATCTATTTGAGAGGGAGGATAATCAATTATTATTACCGAAGTTGTCACACCACTTTTTCTGCAAAAATCCGAATGTCATTTCTCACATTCACCTCGAAACAGATCCGCCCTGATCTGTCTCTTGATTAGATACAAAAGCACAAAATTGGTTTATTTCGAAAATAAGTATGGGCAAATGCACAGAGGAGCATCTAATTAACGTGTAACAAATAAATGCTCCAAAATAAAGAAAAACATACAAAGCTAACACAATTTTAAGCGTTTTCACGATCCTAATTAATAAAATGGTTTTGTTTTTAAAAACAAAACAAGTTTAGATATTATTAAAAAACAGCTCATTATGAGCTACAGCTATGTATTATAATTGCTGTGCAGGCGCTTCGATTTCGTTCTGAAATTAGCTAGCATGTATAGTTGTTGTCTCGTATAATTGCGAGTAGGAAAAAATATGTGTAAAATGCCAATTAGTAATGTTAAAAATATGTAGACATTAGCTTTAGAAGTTTTCGGGCAGAAATATGTCATATGTTTTTTACTGCCTATTTCTACTCCTATATGTTTTACAAATTAAAAAATAATTTTCTCTTTTTAAAACACTATTATGCCATTAGTTTAACATTCTTTAGAAAATAATCATTCGTTTAAATTTTGAAAATCTACGGACTTTAGGAAAAAAGTTAAATTACAATTAAATATGTAAATTGGAAATGATACATCTTAAAATATAATAAACTCAAAGATATCTCCAATATATATTATAATTTAATTCTTTAGTTATAAACATATTTACTACGACACTGGCACATCTTGAAGTGCATAGAAAGAAACTGAATGTATTTTCATTTTTAAGGAATCGCTTATTTCGCTATGATGTTAGTTTTAAATACCAATGGTGTAATATTTTGGTTACAATTGGGTTGCCTCCTGTACGCCATTACAGCAGGCTGTGATTTCCATAGATTCTAACAAGGATAGCTATGGAATCAACAAATTAAAAAACACAGATATAATTCTGAATGACCAACTCGAGACAAAGAGTTCTCCCCTCCTTAACCTATTTCATTAGACACTATAAAGGGTAAACGCATGCCAAAAATAGATCACTTGGGAAAGGCAATCAGCCGAAACAGCCTACAAAAATTCCTTTTGTGAGTTTAACATCAGAAAGTGCAGGAAATGTGTCGGACATATATTTAAAGCAGTCACCTTGTTTATCTAAAGCTTTGACAAGCTGCTTCATCAATCCTAACTTTATCTGAAGAGGAAGCAAAAGAACTAGTCTTGGGTCAACTAGTGTATCACGTTGCACATTGTTTTGTCCAGGTACAAGTATTTCTCTGAGTGGCCACTCTTTCTTAACGTAATGTAAGTATTATCGTTATTAGAAGACTAATCGGACGATAAGAGGTATGTTCTTGAGACGGTGTACCAGGTTTATGGATCATATCAGCAATTTTCCATAGAGTTAATACAATTTTGAGCTTTAGTGAGGTAATAAAAAGGTGTGTTATCATAACTATTCCTTTATTTGGTAACTCTTTTAAGATAGTACATGTTATAAAGTCATAGCCTTCAGCTTTTTTTTGTTTTAAATCCATATTTAATAGCACTTTTTACTTTTCTTTATGATATTGGTTTAAATGGCTCATCTTGCTGTTGGATTGTTGCTAGACTTCCGTAAATGGCTTCATCTTCTTTAGCACTGACAGAGGGTATAGGTTGAAAAACTTCTTTAAGATGTTTTCCAAATGTCGTTGCCGTTTGTTGATCTGTTCTCGCCCATGATCCATCTAAGTCTCTTAATGCTGAGATGTGTTTTACTGTGTTGTTTTAATGTCATGGTGGTCTTCCAAAGTGAATAATGATATCTGCTGTTGGTGTTAAATTTAGATGATAATTTTCAATGTAGGATTTTTTGCGCTGTACTAGTATTTTTTTGGTGTCTTGTGGCTCTATTGTAGTTTATTTTATCGTGTTGCTGCTTTGTGTTTTGCGTATCTTCCTCAGTCGCCCCTTCTTTTTAATTTGGTTTCTAATATTGATGGGGCAGTTTTTCATTCCGTATAGCTTTACCTTCTGGAGTGGCATTACAGGCAGCTTCTTGTAGAAGTGTAGTAAATCCGTATACTTCAACTATATTTCAAGTTCATCTTTTGTTTTTAGGAAATATCTAGGTTTATTTTTTTATTTATTTAGCAGTCGGTGATTGTGCAGTTTCGCTTGGTGTTCCTTCTCAAACAAATCTTGAATTTAGCGTCACTATTACTGGGGTATGGTCTGAAGTAATTCCATAATTAGGTACAATATTTAGGTAGCTTTCTCCATTTTGTTTGATATCTTTGCTTGTTATAATTGGATATACTGTATTTCTGTAACAATTTTGACTTTGAATGACTGTTTGGCAAGGACGCGTTTTTAAAATTTTATATTATTTATTACTAAAGTACTTATATAGTCTTCAAAAATAATTGCTCAAAATTGCTCAAAAAATTGCTCAGTTTTTTAAAACTCGTAATATTACCCAGATGCAACTATGATCTAGCTTTAAATTTTCTAATTTCAGTACTGTGACATATGAATCATCTATTTTTATACACATCAATAAACAATAACTTGTAAATAAGATTTGAATAGACCACCGTGCCTACGTTTGTGATAAAGTGCTGTGATATAGAATAAAATTGTGATCTTCAGTGATAACTTATAGTTTCCTTAGCGACATGACAATGAAAGTCAAGATGCCGTGCAAATTGTGCGATTTAATGCTAAATCAACAAAAACTCAAAGACACTTGCATCCATTCTTCTACTTTTCTGAACACGTTTGGTTCCTCGCATTTGGTTCCGTCTATCGGATTTGCAGTTCAGGACAGTCCATTTATACTCCCAGAACTCAAGGATTCGATGTTGGCCACCTACATGCTAAGAGGTGAGAAATTATTAATTTTTAACACCTTTAACCTTATGTAAGGTAGCGGATGGAATCAAGCACTCACTAATTCTTTGGCTTATATGTGGTGTTTGGGTTTGGTTGTACATAAGCATTTCAAATACTAAATCAATGTTGCTCTAGTGGTTTATATTGCATTCTCCTAGTTTTTCCTAATGATGGCACTCATACTTATATGATTACCTGTTATTATGACATTCTTATCATATTTAATCACACGTTTCCCTTAACAAACTGTTTCAAACTTTATTAACTTATCATTAGAGAAGTTTTTGTCATACGTCATTGCTTAAACAGAATTATGTTAGTCTCATGAAAGCAAAATTCTTCTGATCCTAAACATTCACCTAAACATATATATATATTATTTATTTTATTATATTTATATCTATATTATTTATTCTTACATAATAATAGTGGCATTGTCTCTAAAATGGATGGCCCGAATTGTACAAAAACCAGGATATGCCTATTCTGCAATATGAAGATTTCAAATTGGATGCTTGCAATGTTGCCAATGTTATTTAGATCAGACATTTCCCGGACGATGCATTGGTAGATTAGGTAGTATTGAATGGCCTCCTCGTTCACCCAATTTGAATCTTAAGATTATTTTTATTGGAAATACTTGAAAAGTAGAATTTAGAAAACTAATCCAGCAAGTGTTGCAGACCTAAGAGAAATAATTAACGATGAATCCATATTAATTTCTAGAGAAACATGGAGAAATGTAATAGACGCATGATACCATCGTTTTTAGGATCATCATCATCCAGCCTTTATTTATCACGTCCACTGCTAGATATGCCTCCCTTAAACTCCTACATTTTTACGATTTTATGCTCTTTGTTGCCAATGTTTGGTTATTCTTGCTGATTCTTATTTCAAAATCCAAATTCCACCAGTTCTACCACTTTGTCTTAAATAGGTAAATGGTTATTGGGGACCATATTTGTCTTAAACATAGATTTTGGTCAAGATCATTGTGAGGCCCACCTTCGACCATCCAAAGTCCAATTCATTTAACATATCTGTGCCTTCTCCTAAATTATCTGTCATAAGGGCAATGTCATCTATGGCTAAGCTTTTCGCCGTCTATTGTTACTCCTCTGTGGTTCCAATTGACCATCTTAAAGGCACATTCCAATGCCGTTATGTATAATTTTTGTGACAATGTATCTCCTTGCCTTATCCCACATTTTATTTTTATTGGTCGGTTTTTACCGTGTATCTTAACAGTCATACTGACAATTTTGTAAATATTCTAAATAAGTTCTCTATACCTATGGTCAAACCTACTGTCATTCATTACTTTTATAAAGCTGTCTTATGAATCTTGTCGAATGCTTTACGAAAATCTATGAAGTGAGGACAAGAGGTTTGTTGTATTCTATAGATTTTTCAATGGGTGTCTTTACTGTATGGAGGTAATCATTGTATCATAATTTGAACAGAATCCTGCGTGCTCTCTCGGTTGGTAGAAATCTAATTTTTTCTCCAATCTTGATGTCACTAACCTAGTGAAAGCTTGTGCATGTAGTTCAAAAGGCTAATAGGTCTATAATTTGACTATAATAGTATCCCCATTTTCACGTATCTTCATCTTTCCTCACTAGAGGTCTCTAGTTGCATACTGTGGTAGTTATTTTCCTGTAATTGCCAGAGTAATCGGTGCGTTTTGGTTTGGTTTGAGTCTTCTTACAAACTCCTTCTGATGACGGTTAGACCCAGAAACACGTGTCAGGGAGTAGTAAGAGACTCGAATTAAATCGAAACGCAACCTTCTTCGTATATTTATCGTCCTTACTCGACGCGATGAGTACAAGAATGATGGTAATTTATATGGGTAAATTGTTGGTGCATAGTGGATATATTATCGCAGCACCGCTCTGAATGGCTTGATTAAGCTTGGGTATACTGTTTACTTTAATTGCTATCGACGTATCTACGTATTATATAGTTCTATGTCGTATTCATAATACAGAACAATACACTTTCTCGTGTATTGTTCTAAGTATGAATATGTTGTTTGTAGTGGCTCTATTTGGTCTGAATCCATTTTGACAATCATAATTATATTTTCGGAATATTCTGACAATCTAGTGTAGATAATGCTAGAAAGGATTTTGTATATTATATTTAGCAATGCAATTGGTCTGTAATTCAGGCATTCCCTCTTATTTCCTTTTTTATATATTGGCTGTATAAGACATTTGACTCCGGCATTTGCTCCTTGGTCCATACCACTTTATCAGGTAATGGATTCTTCCTCAGAGTTGGGTCCTCTATATTTCAACAATTCTGCGGAAACTCCGTCCGTTCCTGGCGTTTTACTGTTTTTTAGTTTCTTTATTATTTGAACTACTTCTTCATAACTCGGATTTTCAATATATTCTCGGTTTGATCCTCAAAGTATTCTTTCCATCTCATTATAATTGTTTGTTTCTCTGTTAGTAGTTCTCCGTCCTTGTCTTTGTATATTGTCAATTTTGGTCTAAATGACTGTGTGTTTTCACTGTTGTTATGTTCTAGGATTTCTTGTATTTATTTTTTAAAAGCTTCTCTTTTTTCTACTGCATATTCTAGTCGCTTGTATTCTCTTTGCGTTATAAATTTTCTGCTATGTCTTGTGTTTTTTTGAAGTTGGTTAAGCCTAGCTTGCCTTTTTTCCTCTACTGCAGTTCTGCATTCATCATCATACCATTCTGCATTTCTTTGCCTTCTGGCTTTTCCGACAGTTTCCTCTGCAGATTCCGGTATTATTGTATTTAATTGTCTCCATTCTTCCCTGTAGTATCTTCCTCGCTGGTTCCGTTGAATTTTATTTGGAGAGTTTGTCGTTGTGAGATCCGTCCGTTTGTTTCATTAGCCATTGTATATTTCCCAGATGTATATGTAGATAATTTTGAGATTTCTCGCAGTTAATGCCACTGATTCCAACGTTAATAAGACTAGATTTTTGTACAGAAGTTTTGGGGAACATCACATGCTACTTACAAAAATATATGAATGAGATGTGTCGTTCGAATGTGGGTGTAAAAAAAAGAGAAAAAGGAAAGTTGCAAATAATTTGCCTCCTTTGCTTCTTGATGTAAAAGAGTCACGGTGTCCAGACGCCCCATTAATGTTTAAAATTGTTACTTTGAAAATACGCATTATGAAATAAAATTTAGTTACTCGCTGAAAATTGAAAATTCGTGTATAAACTACAATTAACAACAAATTGGAAAGGAGGTTAGATCTTGTTCAAAGAAAGGTTCATTTCGTATTTCGTTAAATATCTTTCAGTTTGTTTGGCATCGTTTATTAATAAATAACATGATGTTATTTAAATTTGCCTGTCTAACAACTTTCAATGCTTGTAGCAAAGGTTTCAGCGCTCGTTTACCATATAAAATACCCCGGAGAAAGTGCCAGGCAATCGTGATAACCGTAAAATACTCGTAAAATGAAGATACGGAAAACAATTTTTAGAAGATTGTATCTCGATACTAAAAGTGAATACTTACGGCAAGTTATCTAATATTTGCTTATAATAATTAATGTAAAAACGTCTATTTAATATGAGAACAAAGTTTTTCGCAAATTGGAACAAAGATGTATTACGTAAGTTAAGTTTATGTTTGAAACGAGTTTTTTGTATTTGTAATTAGTGGAAATTAATTACTTACACGATTGGAAGACATTTTTAAGACGGTATTCGCGGAACTGGTTACGAAATTTACCAGTGCTAGTATAGAGGGTGACAAAAGTCTTTGTCTGGGAAAAAGAGCAATTGGGCATTAATCCCAAAAGCAAATAAAGTCTATATGTTTGCAATTGGCAGCTCATTCAATGCAAATCTTCACTATTGTACAAAAATGTAGTGTTAGACATTATTTTTCAAAGAGAACCAGCGGTTTACATAGAAATAACAATACAAACCCATGGATTATATACCTAACACGTATGAAAAAAATGAGCGGATACATTGTATTGATATCTATAGTTTATTTTTATGAACGAGGGAGTAATTAGCATAATTTTAAATGGTATCTCCGACCACTCCATGGGCGTGCTCAAGATTAATTGAAAAATTACTTTGAATAATTGTAAAAATAAATGAATTATTTCAGTGTTATAAAGTGTTATGTGTATGTAAACAAAAGTGACCTCTTTTATCACACAGTATAATTAGAACTGACTGGCCTACATTAAAAAGGGTTTTAAAAAATTCACATTTTTTTTTTAATTTTTAAAATTACAAAAGAGGAAAAAGAGTTTTTAAAACCGTCTAAGGTATGTTAAATAGATGAATAAAAATATTAATATAAAACTTACAGCTACATGTTACAAATCCAAATCAGATTCAGAAGATGAACTTTCAAAACCAAGATTTATAATAACTGGCTCGATCATTTTATCAGTAATATTGTCCAGCTTCCACATTTTTTCATCTTACTGCCTTTTCCCAGTTTTCAGGTTTTACATTATTTACGGCCTCCAAAAACAACTGTTTAACATCATGAATTTTAAAAGTGGTATTTTTTCTTGAAACTTCACTCTTTATCTGTGCCCATACCAGTTCAATCGGGTTTAATTCACAATGATATGGTGGGGATCTAAGTACTGTCATTCCACGATTTTTGGCAATTTCATCAATTTCGTATTTTTTAAATTTTTCTTTATGAAGGGCACACAACGAATAAAGTTCCTTTCTTATAGATCCGGGATGGTACGTAATATTTTTTGAACTCAGCCAATTCTGCAAGTCTTTTTTTTAACCACTTGGTTGTGGGCAGTCCTTCTATAAGTCTGGAGTGATAACTTGCATTATCCATTACTATTACACAGTTCTTAGGAAGAAGATCTTATCATTTGTTCGAACCATTCTTGAAAGACATCAGCGTTCATGTCTTCATGGTAGTCACCGGTACGAGTTGATTCAAAAGTTAATAAACCACCTTCAACAAAACCGTCTGAACTGCCAATGTGTACTA